TGCGGGTTCGAATCCCGCCGAATGCCGCGAGTTTTTTAACAATTGGGTCAACCAAATTAACCAAAATCTGCAAAACCAACTTAATAATGTACCATTAGTTGATAAACCGCAATAGGTGTTCTTTTTCCCATACTTTAGAAGAAACACCTTGGGATGCTTTTTTAGGTGACAGGGATTTTTTCCTTGCAAAAACCCTTAAATTTAATAACTTAGTGCAGCTGTCGTCAGCTATTTCTTTAAATCGGTAACACAGTCCAAGATTTCGGTTGACGTTTATTAGCACTAGAAATGAACTGTACTTTGGCTGCTGGTTGACATGCGAGTGCCATAAAATCTCTCAAAGTACTTCTTCGTCTTGCAGTCAGAATTGTTTTGCTTGTGCAAGATGGTAATTTCGGCGAGCGGTCTCGAGTTAGTACTTTTCTTACCCTTCTCTACGTTCTGTCTCGAGGTTACACTTTTGTGCCGGTTATTCCGAAGTGCACCACGCTCATCACACGTCTAACCATCTGATATTTTTGTTTACCTATCTGTTTGCCGATTCCAGCCAACGACATTCCAGACCTGCACAAATTTTCATCGTGATTGGTTCATCTTAGCAGTGTCCTCTTAGTAATACCGCCTATTTCCACCCCTCTGCATATACATATCAGACTGAAGCACCAGCGTATGCTCACTGAATTCATTTTGGTAAGCGCCGGTCTCCGACACCTAGTTTCACATCGCCTAGAGATTCCGTTGCCCAGAGAATGCGGAAGACAAATGAGGCCCCAGGAACCTGCCAGGAACCCTGTTGCCAGCGTTTAAGAGAGGACAAAGTGGGAGGCGAACTTCGTATACAAAGCGCAGGAGGTCAGGTAGAGGAGGGTACAGGTGCCTGCAAAAAGTTGAAATCATACTGCAAGCAGCGCTGCCGAGGGTGTGAGGGGCCTGTCATCTTAGGAGGTCGCAGTCGATGCTGCGATGAACCCTGTTGCCAGCGTTTCAAAAAGGACGCAGTGAGTGGCGAACTCCGCACACAAAGCGCAGGAGATCAGGCAGAGGAGGGCCCAGGAGCCTGCCAAAAGTTTAAATCTTACTTCAGTCAGCGCTGCCGAGGGTGCAAAGGGCCAGCCATCTTCGGAGGTCGCAGTCGATGTTGCGATGAACCCTGTTGCCAGCGTTTCATAAAGAGTAAGGTCAGTGGGAGCTGCCGTACACAGAGCGCAAGACGCCAGGAAGAGCAGGGAGAGAAGACACGCAGCCAGATGCCAGTTACTGACGTAACGAAGACATACACATTCAAACGATT